TTATTCTCATAAACAAACAATGTTTTTACGTTTTAGCTCTTTGTTAGGATGGACTGTATTCAAATCTAGTTTTTACTGTGCTGACAGATTCCATTATCAGTTGTAGACAGGCTTAATTAGAGTGAACCTAACTTGCCACAACCACCTCCAGCCCCCTCCTTAACATATCATAGAGGGAAGATAGGTAGGGATTTTAAGCAACTATAATGCCTTAAAAATGTAAGCAGGCATTTTTAAATATATTGTTTACATTATGCTATGTGAACGGGAACATATTACAAATATAAAGTAGGTGTTATCCCAATTTGGCTGCAAAAGTGGAACTACTCTTTAAAAGGTCATACTGAGATGTAATCATGTACAATCATGTACATGGCTCAAGTCCACCTCTTTATAAACTGCCTTGGGAAAAAGGCACCTCGTCCTAATCAGCATTCCATGTCCAGTTTAATAGTGACATGTTTTTCTAATATTTAAAGGATACACCTGGAGCCTTACAAAATTAAATTAACCTCTAGAAGTAGTAACTGTATGTACCACCATTAGGAAAGCGATGTCCATAGCAAAGTTCACCAGAATTATTTTTATTATTATTATACAGGATTTATATAGCGCCAACAGTTTGCACAGCTCTTTACAATATAAGGAAGACAAAATGAAGATTTCTTTTCCCTTCGCTAATGCATCATTATGTGTTCTACATATCTATCATAGTTTTTTTTCATAATCTATATGTTTGAAAACATTTTAGAGACAGTTAACCTTTAGCATACCTGTTCATTGATGAATTAATTTAATATAATCTGTTGCAAATGTAGCTGGGTGGCCTGTACGGTTTGATTTATTAGCATTAATGTACAGTTTTACTGGGCATGCCATACATGGCTGTAGAAGGTAATTGTTTACAGGGCAGCTCATAAAACTGTCCAACCTAGTTATTTACAGCTATAAGGTTTTCCAACCCTGAAACAGATCATGCCCCAGACTTAAATGCAGATTGTTCGCACAGAAACAATCCCACATTGATATTCTGGAGGAATAATAGGCAGATTTGATGCCATTAACCAGCACTGAAACAATAAAATTTCAACCTGGAACTGATTTTGATCCCCACTCAATACAATACACCACAATAGCATAGGGCTAATTTATGATCAAAGGTGAAGTTTAATCGGCTTATATTTTGCCTTCCATGGTTCCTCCTTTTCCCCTCATTAGCATGCTTTACATTTTTGAATAAAACCTTTCCGCTATTAATCAATACCTTGTTTTAGACCACATGAAGTCTTTACTGGGTCGCTGTGATTCTCTATGGCTGGGAAGGGCCGGCAGGGTACATAGTTTCCTGAAAACATCACAGCACTCTGCCTTAGTAGACCTCCTCTCAAGACCCCTCAGCCGCAATGGAAGCAGTGGGCGAGGTCTTGGAAGGAGTTTTTCT